GTTGGGCAGCACAAAAGGGCAATCTGATATTCCTGTGAGGGACTGTTGGTGCAGTGCACAACACAACACAACACAACACAGCTGTGCTTCTTTGAGGTGTTTACCAAGTGATCCAAAGAGTGACTTCAGCATAGGAAGGTTAATGTGCATTCATTAACTACATGGGAAATGTGAGGATATAGAATCTCATATAAATTACAGCTGCAGGTAGGATGAGGCAAGTGTTCAGTTTTAAATGTGGGAGGAAAATCCCAGATAAAATTCCAGTGGAAAACCCAAGGAGTTAACTGGGGTCTGAATAGCCAATCCATGTCGGCCAGAATGAGGTTTAAACCCGGATTCTTGAGAAGGTGGAAGCCAAGGGAAGTGCCATTACTCCAACCTGGATTCTGGGAATCTGGGACTTTGAATTACACACAATAATCACATTCTATTGTCCAAGGAGTGACATTTCTGGGCGAGGGCAGAAAACAATTATGCGTTGACATTCATGTTTCAAAGTCATTGAATATTTTAAATCCAAGAAGCTTTTATACAAATAACCATACATAGGTTGTGATATGACAAGCTTCTTGTAAAACAACTACAGACAGCTATTTTCTGTGTTTTAAAAAACTTGTCCCAAATTGAAACAAATCTGTTGCGATTTGAGTGTTGATGAGTTGGTTGTGATACGTGTCATACGTTAAGTTAAGTGTGCGAAATATATATTTATAAATGAGTGATCCTTGAGTTCTCAAAGTGCCCCAGCCGGGTCAAGGGGTCATACTGAGATAAAATTTGCAACTTGAATTTGAACTGTTCAAAGCAAGAGACATCCACTCATTATCTGGCCTTTATTTCACATACCACGTGACTGAAGCCAATGTACTTCTACATGCCACCATTTTTCTGAATTATTTGCAATGGCATCAAATTTCCTTTGCACCCCTCAAGTTAGCTTCGATTTTTGTCCATTGCATTGTGGGATACTTCTCCAATTAGCAGGCTTGGTGGGTTGGTCACTCAGGCCAGGCCAGGCCATGTAAGCACAGAAGTCATATGAATGTGAAAGCAAATGCAATTGTCCTTACCCAAGTAATAAAAAAGGGAAATAATCATACACATTATAAGACAAAACCAAGTGAAATGATGCTGTGCTTTATTGCCAATAGTTGCTTCAATGCAAGTATGTGGCATTTTGCCCATTATTTAGCTTAGAGAGATTGATCAGCACACTAAAAGAATCCCTGTGTTTTTGCTCATTGTGTCATTCCTGTATCAAAGTTTCAACAAATGCGTCTCAGCTCAACATTGTAACTGTGTGGATACATGTCCAAAAGCCATTGTCTAGTGCGTCACATCATATAAACAGTTGTGGATAACATTGAAAGTATACTGTTCCTTCCTAACTGAATGAGTTTTAATGTTAGGCAGTAACGTATACCATTTGATAAACTTAAAACTAAAAGCCAAGCCTGAAGACTGGTTCATTAGTCGAGTAAATGTGGAAGGAAAGCAAATTTGATGTCACAACAGATTTGCAGCAAACTTTCAGTCAGGTTGAAATGTGTTCAGCTTTTGCAAATTTGCAGTGGGAATATTTTATCTGATTTTCACAAATTTGCATTTTGGTATGCTAATTTACACCAAGTATGATACAGCCTTAATTTGTACGTGTATTTTGCTGCTTGCAGGCACCTCTCAGTCTCCTCAGTCTGGTTGTCAGAGGTCGTAGGTTGCCACAGAGTTGTCTTGACCTGGCACCCTCCAGACCTGAATGGTCTATGCCAGAGCATTGGCAGGGCTGGAAGTCGTCAGTACTAATAGTTACGAGATCTTTGATGATGGACGTCAGAAACAACTTCTTACAAATGCCCCATCTTACAAAGGTAAACGTTTTTTCCCTAAGTTTGAATTTCATCTAAGACATTATCAAGACAATATTGTGTATGTCCTATTGGAATTCTGTTGTGTTTCCAAAAGTTTTTTAATAATAATAGTTTATTCAGACAATTTACGAAGTATAAACACAGAGATATCATGCCCGCGATGCACAAAAAAAGTTGAAAATTTTATACAATAAAAGACATTATATCGTAAAATAAATGCACAGACAGGATGAACAAAATCAGTAAAAGGCTGCCAAGGAGAAAGATCACAAAGTGAATTCAAACACTGTCGCCAAAAGGGCTTCTAGGTCCATTGATATCTTCTAGGCCCATTTTACAATACTCGACTCTGTAAAAGGTTGAACATATTTCAAGTATCCTCAATAAGTTGCCACTTTTGAGGAAAAGATACAGATGCATGTATAGTTCTGGTGGAATGTGGCACGCGGGCAGCACTGTTACTGCTTCTGTTGGCCATGCACTCTTTCTTTGCTCTGTCTTCCCCAGAGTTTTGTCAGTTTGCTGTACCTAATTATAGTTACTGTTTATGCATTTCTGTTGGTAATGACAATTTTCCACTTCTTAATCTTCAATAAGGTCGTCTTCTTTTAATTGTGATTGCATTTGTGAAGCTCTTTCCAAGTAAAATGGTTAAAAAATGCATGTTGTAAGATAAGCATCCACAATATTCAAAGTTTGATTCTCGGTCCTAGTAGAAACAGTTGTTTGCTTTCTGATGTGCTAATTTCTGGATGCTTTTCAATCAGTGTCACACCTCACAATAAGCTACGTACTTTTTTCTTGCCGGACTCTAGTAGAACTTAACATGTACACCATTCAGTCATTTAGTATCCAGCCTGTCTCAACCACAGGCCATGCTACCCCTGTCATCACTGTGAGGTTTATGAGGACCCTGGCATCCTCTCATCATTGTGGTCAGACTCCCTGAGGATGGTCGGCCGCGGTGAAGGCATGTCAGATGGATCCGCTGTTTTCGGCAAGGAGTTGCAAGAATGACTGGTGAGTCCATTCACCTGTTCACTAACTACTGCATCTGAGTCTTTTCAAAAGCGGCAAAGCATTGCTGATTTGTTGCGCATTGTTCATTTTCAGTACTCAGGCCTGAGACTCCCCTCACTAAAGCATAGGTTCGTATACATATAAAGTGGCACTACGAGCATGCAGCCCCGATAATAAATTTATGGTTTATAATGCGTGCATAATTGCAGACTTGCCACTGAAAATACAAAGTGTCTTTGCACCAGCTCACTGTGTAGACTGCACTTAGTAATTCCTATGACCACTGCAGTTCTGTGAGGAATATATCAGCTCCAGTCCCATCAATTCAACTTGACCCATTACAAAACTTGACCCATTACTATCAGATGCTATACATAAACTCCTGTAAGCATGGTAAGAAGTGAAGCAACTGGTGACAAAATGCCTTGCCTTGGGACACCAGAAAGTGTTTATTGTCGACTGGGTCATAGAAGTGCCACATAAGGAAATTAATATGTGCTCGGCCGGTCTTAAACACTCATTTCTGGCTCTGGAGAATGGATGCGACTAATGCCTGAGTCGCAGACGAGGGCATTATCAGCGTTCACTCTCCTGTGCCGGTCTTAACCGTTAGTTTAAGACTTGCCAAGCACATATTTATTCCCATTCACAAATACCTTTTTTTTCAGTCAGAGAGTCAAAAGAAGAATAAAATTCCAATGATGTTGCTCTAGAATTTTACTTTCATTTTTCCAAACACCCCCATCCATTTAATGGTATATTCCTTGTGTAAGTTGTCCAGAAGAATATATGGACTTGGTGCACATGTGGCGTTTTATGCGTACTTCGTCGCGCACATAGCTCTTTACCAATAGGGAGGGATTAAACTGTCTCATATCCAGGTGCCAGAGCATTTTCAATGCAGCAGGCATTATCAATTTCAGCGGGCATCATGGTTACATTTGCATTGTTGAATAGCGAAACTGAGGTATTTATGAATGGGGAATAAAGCAATTCTTAATGTGGTACAGTTGCATTTAGAGACTGCATTTCTTGATAAAAGTTGCCATACAGCATTCATGTTGTGTACTATGGTTGTGACCAAATTCAGAGATTTATCTTTGCTTAGAAAGCGCAAATTTGACAATCACCTCTTAGATATTTTTCATCCCTTTTTTTTCTGATGCAGTTCATTGCAGTGTACAACTTCAACCTCATTTGACAGTCCCTGAATCATTATCTAATCAACAAGCTAGCCTCGGAAGAAGGAGAAATAATCCTGGTCTATGGCACCATCATCAGGCCAGATGGATGGACAGGAGAAAGGTGAGGAAAAGGTTCTGGAAATCAGTTTCATTGGAAAGTCAAGCAATACTGTGATATTATGCATCATTCAGGAAGCAGGCTGAGCTCAGTTTCATGGGACATGAATATGGTTGTGAAAATGTTGTAAAAAACTCAGTTAAAACCAAATTTCAAGCATTAGGTCGGGGGAATTTAAATATTTTTGGGGGAGGTCATATTTTATGAAATGAGAAAGGGGACAATCAGAAAAAGTTGGACTTTGGGTATAAAGAAATTCTAGATATTTTGTTTGTAAACTTTGAAGGAAACATGGAACGGTTGTGATTCAAAAAACAAAAACATAAAAACTGTACATATTCCCATTATAAAGGTTTGCTAAATGTTTTCTTGTAAGGTGCCTAAGAAAGCACAGTTGAACACAACTAGCTCCTACATTTTCTGTGTACTTTTACTATACATTACATATTTGCTTTAAAGAGAAGAAAAATATGTAGGACTGCTGATAATAACTCCAAGGTCAAGGAAAACTGTATTCACGATGGAACAAAGCATAGCCATCAGGTGGCACAGTCTGTATCATTTGAGGGTAGTGTACAGTGCGTATATGTATGTTGATGTATGCACTGGTGGTCATGTAGACTGGCTGCCAATTGGTCCAGGCAACACTGGCAACTCTGATGTAGAAAACTTTGCACAATAACTGCTACAAAGCCGGAAGATCTGAACTAAAAGAAATCACCATAGCTGAAATAAAATATGCAGATACACCCTGGCATTTGTTACCTAATTTGCAAGAATCTTTGATAAATATCTTGCTTGTTTTGATCATTTTCAAAAATTATTGCCCGATATTTTGGTGCAGACTTTGGACATATGTCATGTGCTTCCATTGCTACTGTATTAGAATGGTTCCTGACACGGCCCATATTTAAGTGCCATGTTACCAGCAGGAACAAGTGTATCCGTACAGTGCTGTCGCATGTGATTTTAAGCAATGACTCAAGGAAAACATGAAAGGAGATAAAGATATATCTAAGAAATTTTTAACTTTTATTTTTAGGTGCATGTAATGGGCTGAAAATCCTCACATCGAAACATTTGTGGGGCAGGCCACCCATGTGTCTGAATGGGCAGGACAAGTTAAGCATGGGTGCATCTGTGATTGAAAATTGCTATACTGAACAACTGCTATAAAGGACCACTATACTGACTGCTAAAGTAAACATTTTTGTGGACCCCTTTGTATTTGGTCTAGGGGTATTCCACTGTATAAACTGTAGGTCCTAAAACAACTTAAATCTGGATCTGAAAAATTCCAAATATCATCCAATTTGAATTGAAGAGTGATCGTTTTTTAACAGGTGCAAAACAAGAGGGGTTCATTGGTCCCGTCCAACTTCATTGAAGAGATTTCAATGTCTGAATTACATTGTGGTAACAAGGTGAGTCACAATTTGACCATTGCCTTGTCCATTGATTGAGAGTTGACTTTCAGTGCACACTAACTGTTAGTTTTTTGGCAACTTCTGCATTTTTCTGCTTGTAAAAATAACACTTCAAATCGTAGTCAGAGGGAACAAAGTCCAGTTGAGTATTTCATAGGTGTGAAATCACATTTTATTGAAGCTTTACTCCACAAGTGATGACCTTTTTTGAAGTTTTAAAATTGTGGGGATCTGTGATTTTTTTCTTGGGGGGGGGAAGTCAGGTAACACGCTAAGGAGACCTTACATATTATGTTATGCTCTGATATATGGACCTATCTTTGTGCGGGAAAACTGCCTGTGACGTGTAGACAAACGGAGAATTTAAAAAAATAGCAAGCAGTAGAACAAGAACTCTTGCCTTTGTGTAATGAAAAAGAAGCTGATTGGCAGTGTTAGTATTCCAAAGTGCATCAATTAAGGCCCTACTGCCTTGCAGAAATTGGTGATGAACCATTTGGCTTTCGCAAAGATGATTCAACATTTTGACCCTTTGAGCCCTAAAAGGGAACTGATGTTGGATCTTAATAGCACAAAGTTCTCCATGTATTGTACTCAAGGTGCCTTCACCAGTGTAACCCTTTATTATTGGACCTACGAAAGCATTGCAGAGACGTTGACCATCAATGTGTCTGAAATGGGCATTATTGTTTAGGTTAAAACCCAAAGGAACTGGCAGAATGTTTGGCTCAGCCTTGGATACATAGAAAATGTAATGCTGCCACCATGGTTTAAATGTAAATGCCTCAGGCTTCCTTCCCAGGTTCCCTGTGTGCCTCCTTGATAGTGTTGTAAATACACTTTCAACTTAAAGGATTTCACCTAAATGCCTGAGGTGAAAATCTTCAGCCAAGACAATGCTCGCTATCATTTTGCTTAATGATGCCACTCTTCAAACGTGTTGATGTGGAACCTGTCCTGTGCGTAACACCAAGACTTTTTGAGAGCCAAGAAGGTTCTTTCCGAACATCAACAAGTCTGAAAAAGGTATCCTCGTTCAAGTGGATGACATTCAAACCATTTCTTAGCAGTCATATCCTTTATTTTCTCAGAAATCACAAAGGGATGGAACGGTGACACACATGGCCACGGACACTGACCGTAATGAGGAACAACAGAGCGTTCCCGAACCCCGGCCACTAAACCGCCAAAGAAAAGCAGGGAGGAACACAAGCGACATGGCTCCTCAAAAGTGTTCAAAGTCTAGTGCCGGTTACAAATCAAATTCAGAAATTGTAGAACTTAGTTTTTGATTTCCTTGCCCTTTTCATTTATCACCAGAATGCATGATTCTTGAAAAGAAGTATGTTGCAGTTGCAAGCTTGAAGTTTGAAGAGCAGTACTGTTTTAATGAAGAAAGTGCCTTCAGGTTCAGAGTAAAGATGTTGTGCGCAGTGTAGAACACAAAAAAGCTGTTTGAATTGTTCTGATAGTTTCAGTGTTTTTTGTTCAAATTAAGACAAACTTGCCTTAGCTGTTCATTGAATGTTACCTGAATGGGGCCTTACAGCTCCAAATGAGAATCGCTGGGGGGAAGTATTTTGAGAGTCAAAATATTTATTGTGGTTTTTATTTCCAAATTTGTTTTGTATGATTGGTTGCAACATGGATCTCTCTCCCTTGGTAAACATGTCTCAGTTACAGGAGAATTGGGATAACCAGTGCTGCGTTTATGTTGCACTGTTTCATCACAGTTCAGTCAATTTCTTTGTTCATTTTTTATAACTGCATATACTATCGGGGCACCTAGTCAGCCCCCCCCGCATTGGTTTATTCAAGGGTTTTCCTCTGGTTGTAGAATGTAAAGGTGGCTGCCATGCAGAACCTCTAAAGTTGTAAGTCACCGTCTACCCCCATCTCACCCGACCTCACCTTATCCTGCCCTACCCACACCCCACACTAGAGAACTAACCTCAGAGGATCATGTGACCATGGACAATAGCTGCCATTAGGCTTCAGAAGTTTCATTGGTCAGTAGCTCGTATGTTCTTGTCTGATTGGCTGAGATGATTTAAAGAAAAGATGTGTGTTGCTGAATATCTCTGTCTGTTTGCTATTTGAAATTATTGTGATTGGCTCATTCTTGTGCAAATGTTTTTCACAGCAGAAGGCTGCTTCAGTGCAGTGACAGTGGCTTCTGTGACTTATTTGAGTAAGAAGGTAGTGATCAGTCCAGTCATCATGAATTACTCTTGGCTACAGGGGTTGCTTTCAGGAAAAACGTGAATAGATACAAAGTTTAAAAGGGATATGGCCCACTGTATTCAGACCAGTGAATAGGAACAAGTCCTTTTATTTAAAATCCCAGTTGGGATTTTTGATATTTAATTCCCAATTTGATATTCAAGGTGGCAGATTAACTTGAAAGCCAATTTCCAGCAGGATCTGTCCATTATTCAAGAAATATATTTATCAGAAAACCTGAAAAGTTTTTTTTGTCACAATGAATACATGTACATGCACTAGATACCCTCCTGAAATATAAAATGGGAAAACTGCAAAATCCTGTTCGTATTAAAATTGTATAGCTTGGTCTGTCGTGTAGATATGTGTGCATCTCGTGTGTGAATTAAATGAGTTTAGTCAGTTTGTGATAATCTTTTGTTCTCAATGATGCAATATAAATTGTGTGTGTTTCACTCGTATAAATGTTGTTTGCCAATGGCAAAGATTCATTGCATGTACAAAATGTTCAGTGTGAAAGAAAATATGGAGAGGCTCAACAAATTACATTTTCTTGATAATTTAAGTTTAGGTAGTGTGTATATACTGCGGTAGCTAGGGAAGTGTAAAATTTTAAAAAGTAGTTTCTTCTCTGTATGCAAAGTACAGCTCTATGCTGAGTAGTAATGTATGCCTCAAATTGGATTCGTCAGCTTAGAATATATTCTGAGTTGCTTTCCGCCCTAATGACTAAGTGCAAAATGTTTCAGTTGTTTGCATTAAGTATATATGCACTCAGGTGATATTTCCAGTAAATGCAAATCGTGGAGATGGAAGTTTGTCTTTAAGGTTTTTAAGGGCACAATTGAGTTGTCATTATTTAGGCATAATCTGTCAGATGACGGGCAAATTGAAGCACCTGTTGACGTATACTTCATCTTTCCCTCTTAAACTCATATAATGCAGATGTTCTTTATTTTAAATAACCATCAAAATAATTGTAAATAAATCCTTTGTAAATTCTGCTATGCACTTAGGATGGATTGACGGATGCCTGGGGACGCCTGTTTTTGTAAAATCTTTTTGCTTATTTATTGGATAATAAAATTGAGGCACATATATAGTTTATTTGTGCTTTGTTCCTTTAAATGTTTCTAATTCTGTATATTGCCACTGTTGACAAATATGTTCGTACAGAAGGTGGTGCATAAAATCGTGGTACAGATTAGCAGGTTTTTCCATTTCCATTTCAAGAAGAATGTCAACGGGTAAAATTATATAAGCAGATTAACAACTCCACTCACAAGCCGCAGTTGCGGCAACTTCAGATGCGGCGCGGCCTTGTACCAAGACTTCCCAATTTGAAATTCACAAGAACGGATCCACAACCAGTTTTTCGAGAGACGGGGAGAGGGCGGAGGCAAAAACGTGCGAATTTTCATTACTTTTTGTAACTTTTCATTATTTTTTTGAGGATGAGGCTAATCTGGTGGCCTTTGTAACAAAAATGTGGAAGGAAAGAAAGGAATGGAAAAGAAACGATCTAAGTCACCTTTCGTTGTTTATTTTTCCAAAACCAAGAGAAAGTTCCCATTTGAGGACCATGGCCTCCGTTGGCATCTTCCAGGATCCACTCTGCCTATGTGCACAAGTTAAACATGTTTTCCTTCCAGTACTCCCCTTGACAGTTGCCATTTTCCCCATTTTTATCCGGATTTCCATTACAAAAACATCCCGGGAACAGAAGTTTTCCGGCCTCACGGCCAGAGACTCGCATCTATCGCGCACCCTGAATTCAAGACTACCATTTAAGTCTGGTTCCTGATTGCAGTAATTGCATTAATGAATAAGAAAAAGTGAGCATAATTTACCGGTAACTAACTAATCGTCGCATCGCACCACTTCATAGCACGTGTTACCGAATGTGAACAAAATGAGGATGGTTTTGATTTGGGATGTAATGTTGGAAATTTATCAGTCAAACTAACGGGAAGAAGTTACATTTGAGAAGGACCTGACAGCTTACATGCCATGGAATTAAATGCGAAAAAAAAATGGACGTAGACAGAACTTCAACTTCAGGAAAAGGATGAAACGGAACGGATGGCTTTCTGTTGCACTACCTTGGAATTCTATTGCATCAACTGCACTAGAGGCCGTGATGGACCTTGGAGACAGTCTTGCGCATGGTTTACACTTATTTTCACGGTCGGACGTCCAGGAACACAGCGAGAATTAATCGTCAGTGAAGAAGGTAGTCAAGAGGGCCATAAGAATATTAGGTAACAAAATTATTATTGATTAAGTGGCAGAGAAAATCCAGTAGAGCCTTGCCAATTCTTTGAAGCTGCTGCAAAAATGTTTGCAGTTGCAGAGACGGCACACAATTATGCATATTATTTTTTTCAGCACTGACTATAGCCTATATGTATTATTTTGTACTAGGTGACGTGAAGACTGACACTTTAACATGTATGCCTAATTATTAGCCTGAGGGCCTAGTTGGTTAACCTGCAGTTTTGCAGGTTGGAAATTTGCAATATATTGGCTTTGCGTTGAGGCGTTTATGTACATTGATTTCTCGAAAACTATGATTTTTAATCTATGGACTTGTGAAGGTACAACCATCTAAAATATTTATAGCAAAGCTAAAATCCAGGACCTTGGAAAACTCTTGTTGAGTCGCGCTCCTTTCGCTTGAACCCGGTCACACGCTTTGCTGCATCGAATAAAGTTCGGGATTTTTTTTCAGGCAGACTAAAATGACATATCGTAATCTGAAAATAAAAGTCATTGGAAAAATATCAAAGTTTTCCTTAGGACAGCGTGAAAAAAGGGACTAAGACAAATCGAAAATATGCCTTTTCAAAATGCAAGCAAGCTTGTACATGTAGATAAATTTGAGAATATAAAGATAATGAGTTGAATCAGTATGTATAATTTCCGTCTGCCCAATGTCAAAGATTTAATTCAATTCAAATAATTTCGTCGGCCAGTTTCCCGTGCCGACTTGGCCTTTAGTCAAGAGGTGCCACCCCCACCCGGTTTCTCAGCTGTCATTTCGCTACTGACACACCCAGACTGGACCCAGAATTTTGCATGTGCTCGTCGAGCTTAACGGAACGCGCATAGGGGGCGTGGTGCCACCCAAGTTTGTCTTCCCGGATTTATACCCGGAGCACAAAGAGTTACACTGTTGCCACGTGCATCGTGTGCCAAGTGTTGGTCTTTTTTTCCTGTTACTTACCACTGTGCACATTGTGGTATTAAAAAAGCTAGAGCCAAGTTGGCTGGCTAATCTGAAGGAATAAGCAATCCAGGTATTTACGTAATCAGAATACATGTACATGTAGTTCATTCAGGGCCTGTATCCTGCAAAGCATTGGCAATTCATAGCTGACATTGTTTAGGTGAATGGCGCGGGAAAGTGGACCGACGTTCGTATCATTTTTCACATTCCCTTGCAGAAGGCACGCAGGTCTGCCACTTCATCCTCCCTTGAGTTGCATGAATAAATTGGAGCGTAATGTGTGAGGAATTTGTGAAAAATGGGCTCTCTGGGTATGTATGGAAATGCCGAAATGTCCTGAACAGCTTAGTCAGTCACTCGTGAAGCTAAAATATGTTTTCCAAGAAACCAAACAACCTTAGACTTCTAAATATATTGTTTGTACTTTCTCACCGGCATGGTATACCCACCGACCAACTTCAGTGCAAGTGTTTCAGCGTTGACCTGTCTGTCTTGATCGACATTGCTTGGTACATGAGATTGCAGGACTAAGTTTACAACCCAGATTATGCTTGCGTTGTGAAAGGTTTCTGCACAGGACACCTCTGCAGCGAGGACTTGCAGTTCATGGCTGAAATATGTTTGGAGAAAGGGGTAAAGTCCCATATCTTCCCCTTTCTCACTTTTCTGACGGGCGCATTCAGCAATCCAATACTACGCAATTATGTATGCGTCGGCCTGTATACGATTAACAATAAATTTACATACAGGGTTGGGCTGTCAGTGCCGCTATACGTAATGCACTTAACGGTCCCAGTTTGTCTCCACTTCATTGGCTATCTAATATATTAGACAGAATACGGTAAAGTACATGTAGACCTGTAGGACAAAATGGAAAAATCCAAGTCAGCCTTTAGGAACTGGAGTAGTTCCTCAACAACTGGCAGCAAGTTCGCTGTTCGTATAGCTGAAAATGACATAGCAATATATACACGAAGGTATGAAATTGAGTCTCGGTTAATTCCGAGTACTTCACAATTTAGTTCCGAGTTACATTGTACTTTCAACCAGAGTGGTGAGAAGAAGACAAAGGCTCTTGTTCTATTGCTTGCTAATTTTTTGAAATTCTCCATTTGCCTACACGTTACAGGGCGTCTTCCCGCGGAAACAGGTTCCATATATTGAAGCATAAAAGAACTGGCAATTGTCCAAATCCTGCAATTTTGGTGGTATCTGAAAGAGCACATCTTTCTCTATCCATTGATGTAAGTTTCATTTCCATATTTGCTTTGGGTAGAGAAATAACGCTTTAAGAAGGCAAGAGTTCTTGTTCTATTGCTTGCTATTTTTTTTAAAAATTCTCGGTTTGCCTACACGTTACAGGTCGTCTTCCCGCGCAAGGAGGTGTCCATATATTGAAAAATAAAATAACTGGCAATTGTCCAAATCCAGCAATCTTGGTGGCATCTTAAAGAACACATCTTTCTCTTTCCATTGATGTAAGTTTCATTTCCATATTTGCTTTAAGTTGAGAAATAACGTTGGAAGAAGGCAAAGGTTCTTGTTCTATTGCTTGCTAATTTTTTGAAATTCTCCATTCGCCCACACGTTACAGGTCGTCTTCCCGCGCAAGAAGGGGTCCATATATTGAAGCATAAAAGAACTGGCAATTGTCCAAATCCAGCAATCTTGGTGGCATCTAAAAGAGCACATCTTTCTCTATCTATTGATGTAAGTTTCATTTCCATGTTTGCTTTGGGTAGAGAAATAACGTTGAAAGAAGGAAAACGTTTTTGTTGTATTGCTTGCTAATTTTTTGAAATTCTCCATTTGCCTACACGTTACAGGGCGTCTTCCCGCGCAAGGAGGGATCCATATATTGAAGCATAATAACACTGGCAATTGTCCAAAGCCAGCAATCTTGGTGGCATCCGAAAGAGCACATCATTCTCTTTCCATTGATGTAAGGTTCATTTCCATATTTTCTTTGGGTAGAGAAATAACGCTGGAAGAA